CATATATATATATATATATATATATATATATATATATATATATATATATATATATATATATATATATATATATATATATATATATACAATTACATATACATATACTTATACATATATATACATGTGTATATATATATACATATACATGTATATACATACACACTCACACATATGGTTATATGTATGTGTTGGTGGCAGTCAATAGCTCGTCAAGAGTATAAAATTAAAGTCAAATAAACTCCCACTTATTTCCAGGTTTGTGTGATACTTTGGTGCCAGAGGTGAGCCAGGAGGGGTTGCTGCAGCCGTACTACACCTACCAAGACGTCACCCTCTTTCACTTCCACATCCCCCACGAGGTGACCCGGGCAACATGGGAGTTTGCAGCCTTCATGGATGACCCAGGATGCCCTGTGCGGGAAGTGCATGTGTAAGTGGAGAGGAAATGTAAATCGCTCTTTGCCAGTATAGAATGGATGTGAAGAGAGAGAGGAATGGAGTAGGATTGAAATGGACCAGTTTATTATGTGTGTGCTTGCTTATGTTTTTTATTTTACATATTTGATTAAGGCCATAAAATCATGTGAAGATAATACATATAGTAATTATGATTATACTGTTGTTATGAGAGATTAGTTAAATGTAAGTGGACTAATTAGGTAAAATTATTGGTTTTAATTGACATATGAGGTTAGATGAGTGTAGGTGATTACAGACACTCCTTGGTTTGTATATTTAGAGGTAGAGCAACCATTTTTTGTGGTTGTTATTTCAACAAAATTATTCTAGCCTTTACCATATTAGGGCCTTTCCTTTAGTCACATAAGGAGGAGGATGTTTAGCATTAATAGATACTCTGGAAAAGGCTTCAGGATCCAGTGTTCCCCATTACCAGTTATAGTATGTTGCAACAAAATTGTTATGAATGATATCCCAGAGCTTCCAGATTCACAAGATGAATTCCTCTACTATCCTCCACTCTGCCAATGAGTGAATAGGCATCCATGCTAAAATGTCATCCATTACTAAGTGTAAAAACTGATTCATTTGAAAAATCTGACTGGATGCCATTCATCTCTTTTGTCCACCCTTTGCCAGAAGGAATAAACAGCAACAGTGCAATGGTTACAATCTCTGAACACTATATGATGTGTCCAGTAGAAGACATATTACCGCTTCTGTTTCACAGCTTCGCCTATGATGAACATAACAATAGCAAGAACACTAACACTATTTTAGACCTTAAAACTAGTAACTAAATTTGTTATACAACAATTTTATTTGAATTAGGCATCAGAGACTCAATTCTTCACTGCAAAGATGCTTTTCTTCCCTCAGAATTCAAGTTCAAGATTGGGTAAATGTCATAGAATCCATTTCATGCAAAATTACAGCTTAATCCTGATCTTATTCCAATTTTCCCTCAACCTATTACTACATGATAACTGAAAGCAAAGTTTTCCAGTCATTGATATTCCTCTCTTGCAGGCTTGTCCAACATGGTAGTTATCCAGTGGTTGGCAAAGACAATTCAACATTCAAAGATTATATGTACATTGAAAGAGCAGCAGTCCACAAGGTAGGTCATCTTCTCGTCTTTATGAGTTTCATATAAACATTTTCTTCCTCTTCTTCTGTTTTTTGTTTCTTTATATATTTATTTAGTTTCAAAATTTGTAGTAATAAGTAAAATATACTGTAAGAAATAAAAAAAACAAGAAAAGTTATGTATTATCTGATCTTTAACAAATTTCAGGTGACAACGTACTCTGCTTACCAGCCACATGATGCCACTATCCTGCCTGTTTACAACCCACTCCCAGGAAGTTGGTTTGCTGCGGCATATATCCCTAACTGGAATGAACAAATGCAGCAAGAGGTTTGTATAATGCATAACCTTTTCATTTTCAGTCATTAAAAGAGGGAAGTGAAGAAGAATGTTGAATGAAAGGTTGTTGAAAAGAGGAGAGCATTATTGTGTGAAGGAAAGATAATAGGGAATAGGAGAAGGAAAGAAGGAAGTGTAGAGAAAAAAAAAACAAAGAATAGAGGGAATGTGTATCAAGATCTCTAAATAGGATTATGATTTGTTGATAAGGTATTGACAAATTGCATTAAGGCCTACATTTCAGTGTAAAAATGTTTTAATTGTCTTGTGATTTGAAGAGATTTACTAATATTTTAAGGTTACTTTTCAAACAGTTGGATTTCAGTGTATCTCATATATAATGAAATGATAGTAATTTACATAAGTGAAGAAGAAAAAAAATGGTTATATTTATTTTCTTAATTTACAGGGTATTGTTCACAAATGTCGATACAGTTTAGGGTCTGTTGCAATGTGGAGTCAGAAGGAACAGATACACACCATCAACATTGGGAAAAGACAGACTGTGTGCACACATGAAAATCTTTCATATTACAGGTAAGATAGCATTTGCAGTGTGATCAAATTCTTGAGTAGTTTTGCTATTAGTAGAAACAGAACCATTATTATGTATATCTATATTCTATTATTGCCTGTACTTTGCAAGAAGTACTATTTGGAATATTTTCATCTTTGTGGTTTAAAATGGCAATGTATTCAGATATGTTATTTTTTCCTAGATTTATCATTTTCCTTGACTTTATAAGTTTATCTTAATGTTTCTAAGGACTAGAACTGATCATTAACCCATTTGCCCCACGTGGCAAGAATAGATGCCATGCCTACTTTGATACACGTTTATTTATTGTATATACACATAGATGGCTCCACATATTCTTAATCAGCAAATAGCCAGTTATCAAGAACCACCTATTTCACCTGTTTACCCTTTTCCTTCGTTTTAGGATTTTTTTGTGTGTGTCATTTCATTGTCTAAAATATTCTAATGACAATTTAATAATCATAACATCAATAGCAATATTAACAGTATCAATAGCAATGGTATTAATTTTCCCGCCAATTCAATGAATGGGAAAATCAGGGTCGGTAACTAGGGCCTACTGATAGACTCCTTGCCGGCTGAGCACATGTGGAGCCATCTGTATGTAACAAAATTCACCAAAAACTACAGGGGACAGAACATAAATCCGGGGCAAATGGGTCAAGAGATTCTTATAAAGGTGTTTTCTCATGTTTTTCATATCTATACATGTATTTTCTCAGGCAATTTTAGGTTTGGTTCAGTCTGCTGTTACTTTACCTTTACCTTTAAATACCACAATTTCTCTGCCTGTGACTGCCCTGTATAAAATGTAACAAGGCACAATCATAGTGACAAGAAGTTTGATAATCTTGCTGTATAATTCCTTATCTTCTCTTTAACCCATTCCCGCCGGGCATGCCATGCCATGACCACTGTCAGATTACTTGTTAGATTGCTTTCACACATAGATGGCTATACTTGTACTAAATTACCAATGAGCCAGTTACGAGTAACGCCTGTCTCACCCGTTCACCCTTTTCTTTGATTTACAAAATATTTTACGGTATCTTATCTTGCTGTTACTAATGTTAAAAAACATTATAAAAATTACAATGTTTATGATAAAAATAACACCATCGATATTCATGGCACTAGTGAAAAATACGTGTTTCAAATCAGGTGCTAACAGAGCCATCTATGGGCAGACATTTAACAAAAAAGTATAGAAAATAGGCACAACAATTTCCCCATTTTTTGTTCATTTTCCCCGGCGGCAATGAGTTAACCTGAAAGTCCATAACATTAGTTCCTAAAGCCTCACCTCTTACACTTGCAGATTTTATGTTCCTTCACATACATGGTTCCTGCAAATCAACATCACCAACTGCCAGATACGGGAAGAAATCATCAACCACGACACGTGGGAACGCCTTTTCCGCTGGTGCATCCGCTCGCTCTCCCTTCAGGCCAGGTCACTCCCGACCTTTGACCCAGATGGAGGGGTTGCCAACATCTCTCAGGGAGGAGGTCACACATTCACCGAGACCAGACCCTTTTCTGATGGGTATTACTATCTCCTGGTCAACACGGAGGGAGAGACTATGATGGATATCACCATTGAGACTAAAGGTTTGTTTGCATGTTGCTCAAGACTGTTCTAGTTGTTGTGTGTAAGTCGTAGAATAAGTCAAATATCCCTGTACGAAATAAAACAAGAACGTTATGTATGATCTTATCTTTGACAAATTTCAGGTGACAACGTACTCTGCTTACCAGCCACATGATGCCACTATCCTGCCTGTTTACAACCCACTCCCAGGAAGTTGGTTTGCTGCGGCATATATCCCCAACTGGAATGAACAAATGCAGCAAGAGGTTTGTATAATGCATAACCTTTTCATTTTCAGTCATTAAAAGAGGGAAGTGAAGAAGAAAAAAAATGGTTATATTTATTTTCTTAATTTACAGGGTATTGTTCACAAATGTCGATACAGTTTAGGGTCTGTTGCAATGTGGAGTCAGAAGGAACAGATACACACCATCAACATTGGGAAAAGACAGACTGTGTGCACACATGAAAATCTTTCATATTACAGGTAAGATAGCATTTGCAGTGTGATCAAATTCTTGAGTAGTTTTGCTATTAGTAGAAACAGAACCATTATTATGTATATTCTATTATTGCCTGTACTTTGCAAGAATTACTATTTTGAATATTTTCATCTTTATGGTTTAAAATGGCAATGTATTCAGATATGTTATTTCTTCCTAGATTTATCATTTTCCTTGACTTTATAAGTTTATCTTAATGTTTCTAAGGACTAGAACTGATCATTAACCTATTCACCCCACGTGGCAAGAATAGATGCCACGCCTACTTTGATACACATTTATTTATTGTATATACACATAGATGGCTACACTTGTACTAAATTACCAATGAGCCAGTTACGAGTAACGCCTGTCTCACCCGTTCACCCTTTTCTTTGATTTACAAAATATTTTACGGTATCTTATCTTGCTGTTACTAATGTTAAAAAACATTATAAAAATTACAATGTTTATGATAAAAATAACACCATCGATATTCATGGCACTAGTGAAAAATACGTGTTTCAAATCAGGTGCTAACAGAGCCATCTATGGGCAGACATTTAACAAAAAAGTATAGAAAATAGGCACAACAATTTCCCCATTTTTTGTTCATTTTCCCCGGCGGCAATGAGTTAACCTGAAAGTCCATAACATTAGTTCCTAAAGCCTCACCTCTTACACTTGCAGATTTTATGTTCCTTCACATACATGGTTCCTGCAAATCAACATCACCAACTGCCAGATACGGGAAGAAATCATCAACCACGACACGTGGGAACGCCTTTTCCGCTGGTGCATCCGCTCGCTCTCCCTTCAGGCCAGGTCACTCCCGACCTTTGACCCAGATGGAGGGGTTGCCAACATCTCTCAGGGAGGAGGTCACACATTCACCGAGACCAGACCCTTTTCTGATGGGTATTACTATCTCCTGGTCAACACGGAGGGAGAGACTATGATGGATATCACCATTGAGACTAAAGGTTTGTTTGCATGTTGCTCAAGACTGTTCTAGTTGTTGTGTGTAAGTCGTAGATAAGTAAATAATCAAAGTGCACACATGCATACACACGTATGTGCTAACCACACCACACCCATACACTCACACACCCACACACCCACACACCCACACACCCACACACCCACAAACTAAAGCAAATATCATAAGAAATCAGTATAATTCTCTGTGTATATTTTAGGTGCTTACTGCATACCTTAACCATGATATTGGTACCAAAAGAATTGGCACATCAAAATACACATCAGATCCAGCTAATATATAAGGAAATCCATTAAATTATTTTCATTTTAATTTTCTGAAACTTCAGAGATGATTTCCTTCATTGCTTAGTCAAGAAATTCATAGATAAGTGTATGCATGAATGTATACACCGTACATTTTGTGAATTTACTTGCATATATTCATTATGTATCAATGACTGATGTTCATGCTAGCTGTCACCAAAATCTACCAAAAACTCTCACACTTGATCAATATCCGCATATTTCAGAATGTGGCGGGACATTCTCAGACAGCACTCCGCAGATACAAGAGATAAAGACATCCAGTTTCATGGAGGTGTCATCAAAACAGGATGTCAGGTTAGATGGAACTGTATCACCAAACATTACCATGTCAGTCTCCACAAGCAGTACCTCAGATGAACAGCAAGCACTAGAGAACACAATGAGACCAAGATGGGATTCAGACAATGTACCTGAGGAGAGTCACCAGTGTTACCCAGTCCTCCAGTTAGCTCGCATCAAACACCCTAGTGACTTTACAGATACCTTTTTAATTCAGGTACATGAAAAAAGAGTAGAGAGTGGGTAATGCTCATTTCTGTGTTGTTTCTTTATTCATAGGTAATAATTTTTTGTAATTTAGAATTGATAGATTGAGATATGGTAATTCCATAATTGTCACTGTCCTTGAACATTCCTGTTTATATAAAGTTCATTATATCTGTTATTATTATCATTTATTTATTTATTTATTTAAATTCGTTATGATTTTTTTTGACAGGGACCAGAATGGTACAGTACCTGGCTTTCAATGCGAGGAGATGTTCCAGTCTTCACTCACCTTACATTGCTGCCTTTCACAGATATTGGGGGAACACTTAGTATCAATTTACGTATGGATGAAATCCTTATGGTAAGCATTAAAATCTTTGCAGATATTGTTGAAAAAATTTTGTTAAGGGTCCCTTTATGGGACTTCTTCAGTATTAAGTTTAATTTTCTTATAGTCCAAGGTTTGATACACAGTTCTTTGGCTTGATATGCAAACCTTTGTCTTATTTCGCTCATAATCATTCTTTGATGATCAAAATAAAAGCATCAGTAATTATGATAAATAAGACAAAACAAAAATAATTTTGAAGCAGAGCAGGTTGAGGAAAGCCACTTTCTTTAGTTTCGTTGATTGGAAGCTGTCTGCCCTATACAACTGATTTCAGATTTTACTGTTCTACTGAAAAGTGTGAATAGTATGCTGTATGTCTCACACTTTCTCTGTACTATGTATACGAAAGTACTGTGAGTGTGTGCCAATGTTTTGCCAGTTCTTAGGAATTTTCCAACTTCTGCCATCATTTGTGTTGATTACACTTGTCCACCAATCTTTCTTTGTTGTATATCCTCGTCTTGTCTGGCATGCCTATAACCATCATAAAAAAACAACTCATCATGATGCGCCAGAGCGTGTTGAGCGGGAAGTTCCGCTATGCATAGTGGACTTCTGGGCCCAATGGCAGGATGGCTGCCAGAACTCACTAGAATAAGTGATGCCAAGAGATTTTTGATACCATCATTGTTGGGTTAATCTGCATTTGTTCCTTTCTGAGGCAGGTTGAAGTTTGCCCTGTTTTATGCTCATTTTCTACTCCCTTCTCCCTCTGTTTCTCTCCTTGTCTACCCCTTCTTCCTCTCTTCTCTTGTGATTGATGTAAGGGTGGGTGAGTGCATATTGCAGTAAATTTCTTATTTACATTGTTTAGTTTTATTAGCCATATATCTCTCCTTCCTGTTTGTTTTTCTACTACTTTTGTCAAGGAGCATCAGAATGTGCTCTCTTAGCTGTTGCTGGGAGAAGATTATAAGACCATGTGATCTTGTATGTGTTTGGGGAGAGGAATGAGTGTTGCCCTTCTAACTAGATATGGAGCATAGGAGTGTGCCTGGAGGAAACTTGTGTAGACAGTGCCAGATGTATTGGTGGACTTTACATTCATAGTGAAACACTCCCTCGATCCCTTGCCTGTTGTTTTTGTGGGGGGAGCTAATGAGACGGAGACTGAGGCCCAGTGTAGGGATCACCCCTACCTTGGTCTTCAGCCGTCGCCTCAACTAATTTTGCAAGGCGTTTCTTCTCCCTCTTTCCTTTTCTGTCTCTTCTTCATCCCCTTATTGATCAAGTGATTTCCACTTATCCAAATCATTAACCCTTATTTACCCTTTTTGCACATTACCGGTAATTTATGATAATGCTCTATAGCCTTTGATATCTGGTACATTTGTTTAGTTTGACCATTGACCATTCTGGAAATCCGCAAACATTGTCTTACTGAACCAAAAAAATTTCTTATCTGAGAGCTTTACCCCTCAAGCCTCCAAGACCCACCCCATTGCTATATTTGATTATTCATTATATTCTACATGCCTCACAGTATACTCTTGTCATTGTGGACCCTCTATAAAAGGAAGGATTTTTAAAGCTCATGCAAGAGATCTCTCGGTTAGTGCAACTCTACAGTAAGACTTAAGAATTATTTAATCTCTGAATCCCCAAAATAAAGCAATTTCTGAAACTATATAGCTAAACAATTGCTTGATCAGTTATCCTTGGTGTCTAGGGGTTAAAGGGAAAAGCAGGTGAACTTGTTAACTCTGCAGTGATGGTGGCAGAAATTTCCATGTGGCACTCATTCTGGTGACTCTTGGCAGCTTTCTAGCCTTTTGCCCGGGGAATTAACTGCATATAGCGGAACTTCCTCATCAACTAGCCTTTGCGAGTCATAACACCTATAGCTGTACCCTTAAGATGAATTATTTTTTCATGACTGCTATGGGCATGTCCATTTATAAGAGGTTAAAGACTCTAAATGATATTTATTGTATTTTTATGGATCTTTTGTCTGTATTCAGTCTTATTGCATTTTCCGTATTGATATGTGATACATGCGAGTTATTATGATTTATTTGATAATTTATCAAGTAGATGATTTTCAAAGTCCTAAATTTATCCTCTTTTTCTCATATTTCTTTCAGAATGCAACAAGCCAGCTGATAACAGTAGTAGGGTGCATTCGGAAAGCTCGGCCTCCAGAGGTCAAAGATGGCTTGTTGGTTTGCGATGAAAAGCAACTCACGCTCAACATCACCTCTTTCTCGGCAAGCACAGTCACAGACTTCATCCTGATCCCATTCCCCGAGCCTGACACGTGGTTCCTCGCCCTCCAGACAATCTGCTATTATAAAGGGTAGGCTCATCTTTTATTATGGGGACCTCTGAATTTGTTCATGTTCTCTATTATTATTATTATTATTATTATTATTATTATTATTATTATTATTTTATTTTATTTTATTTTTTTATTTTTTATTTATTTATTTATTTTTTTGATTTTGTGATTCTACACAAGAATGATTGGTTTAATTTTTTTCATACAAGCTAAACAATAAATTTTAGAGAAAGAACCGATCAGTTTTCTTAGAACACTGAAAATATAAATACCTTTATATCTTGAAGCATTTTGTGCAACAGTAGTTTACACAAGAGTTAAATTTGCTTGTTTATTTATTCATTTCTTTCAAACAGGGTTAAAGCACCTTGCAAGGTAAACATAGTTATGGTCAGCGTTGACATCCGAACTCAGCCTTGCGTCTTCACTGGGGAACAGCCATGCGGTGGTCATGGCTTGTGCCAGGAAACACATCGTGGCATGTTTTTCTTCACTAGCTGTGTGAGTCGGCTGTTGTATTTTTAAAACTTTCCTCCTCCTCCTCCTTTTCTTCCTCCTCCTCTTCTTCTTCTTCCTCCTCCTCCTCCTCCTCCCCTCCTCCTCTTCTTCTCCTCCTCCTCTTCTTCCTCCTCCTCCTCTTCTTCCTCCTCCTCCTCCTCCTCCTCCTCCTCCTCCTCCTCCTCCTCCTCCTCCTCCTCCTCCTCCTCCTCCTCCTCCTCCTCTCTTCCTCCTCTTCCTCCTCCTCCTCCTCCTCTTCCTCCTCCTCCTCTTCCTCCTCCTCCTCTTCCCTCCTCTTCCTCCTCTCCTCTTCCTCCTCCTACTTCCTCCTCCTCCTCGTCCTCCTCCTCTTCCTCCTCCTCCTCACTCCTCCTCATAATCCTCCTCCTCATAATCCTCCTCCTCATAATCCTCCTCCTCATAATCCTCCTCCTCATAATCCTCCTCCTCATAATCCTCCTCCTCATAATCCTCCTCCTCATAATCCTCCTTTTAATCCTCCTTCTCCTCATAATCCTCCTTTTAATCCTCCTTCTCCTCATAATCCTCCTCCTCATAATCCTCCTCCTCATAATCCTCCTTTTAATCCTCCTTCTCCTCATAATCCTCCTTTTAATCCTCCTTCTCCTCATAATCCTCCTTTTAATCCTCCTTCTCCTCATAATCCTCCTTTTAATCCTCCTTCTCCTCATAATCCTCCTCCTCATAATCCTCCTTTTAATCCTCCTTCTCCTCATAATCCTCCTTTTAATCCTCCTTCTCCTCATAATCCTCCTCCTCATAATCCTCCTTTTAATCCTCCTTCTCCTCATAATCCTCCTTTTAATCCTCCTTCTCCTCATAATCCTCCTCCTCATAATCCTCCTTTTAATCCTCCTTCTCCTCATAATCCTCCTCCTCATAATCCTCCTTTTAATCCTCCTTCTCCTAATAATCCTCCTTTTAATCCTCCTTCTCCTCATAATCCTCCTTTTAATCCTCCTTCTCCTCATAATCCTCCTTTTAATCCTCCTTCTCCTCATAATCCTCCTTTTAATCCTCCTTCTCCTCATAATCCTCCTCCTCATAATCCTCCTCCTCATAATCCTCCTTTTAATCCTCCTTCTCCTCATAATCCTCCTTTTAATCCTCCTTCTCCTCATAATCCTCCTTTTAATCCTCCTTCTCCTCATAATCCTCCTTTTAATCCTCCTTCTCCTCATAATCCTCCTTTTAATCCTCCTTCTCCTCATAATCCTCCTTTTAATCCTCCTTCTCCTCATAATCCTCCTTTTAATCCTCCTTCTCCTCATAATCCTCCTTTTAATCCTCCTTCTCCTCATAATCCTCCTTTTAATCCTCCTTCTCCTCATAATCCTCCTTTTAATCCTCCTTCTCCTCATAATCCTCCTTTTAATCCTCCTTCTCCTCATAATCCTCCTTTTAATCCTCCTTCTCCTCATAATCCTCCTTTTAATCCTCCTTCTCCTCATAATCCTCCTTTTAATCCTCCTTCTCCTCATAATCCTCCTTTTAATCCTCCTTCTCCTCATAATCCTCCTTTTAATCCTCCTTCTCCTCATAATCCTCCTTTTAATCCTCCTTCTCCTCATAATCCTCCTTTTAATCCTCCTTCTCCTCATAATCCTCCTTTTAATCCTCCTTCTCCTCATAATCCTCCTTTTAATCCTCCTTCTCCTCATAATCCTCCTTTTAATCCTCCTTCTCCTCATAATCCTCCTTTTAATCCTCCTTCTCCTCATAATCCTCCTTTTAATCCTCCTTCTCCTCATAATCCTCCTTTTAATCCTCCTTCTCCTCATAATCCTCCTTTTAATCCTCCTTCTCCTCATAATCCTCCTTTTAATCCTCCTTCTCCTCATAATCCTCCTTTTAATCCTCCTTCTCCTCATAATCCTCCTTTTAATCCTCCTTCTCCTCATAATCCTCCTTTTAATCCTCCTTCTCCTCATAATCCTCCTTTTAATCCTCCTTCTCCTCATAATCCTCCTTTTAATCCTCCTTCTCCTCATAATCCTCCTTTTAATCCTCCTTCTCCTCATAATCCTCCTTTTAATCCTCCTTCTCCTCATAATCCTCCTTTTAATCCTCCTTCTCCTCATAATCCTCCTTTTAATCCTCCTTCTCCTCATAATCCTCCTTTTAATCCTCCTTCTCCTCATAATCCTCCTTTTAATCCTCCTTCTCCTCATAATCCTCCTTTTAATCCTCCTTCTCCTCATAATCCTCCTTTTAATCCTCCTTCTCCTCATAATCCTCCTTTTAATCCTCCTTCTCCTCATAATCCTCCTTTTAATCCTCCTTCTCCTCATAATCCTCCTTTTAATCCTCCTTCTCCTCATAATCCTCCTTTTAATCCTCCTTCTCCTCATAATCCTCCTTTTAATCCTCCTTCTCCTCATAATCCTCCTTTTAATCCTCCTTCTCCTCATAATCCTCCTTTTAATCCTCCTTCTCCTCATAATCCTCCTTTTAATCCTCCTTCTCCTCATAATCCTCCTTTTAATCCTCCTTCTCCTCATAATCCTCCTTTTAATCCTCCTTCTCCTCATAATCCTCCTTTTAATCCTCCTTCTCCTCATAATCCTCCTTTTAATCCTCCTTCTCCTCATAATCCTCCTTTTAATCCTCCTTCTCCTCATAATCCTCCTTTTAATCCTCCTTCTCCTCATAATCCTCCTTTTAATCCTCCTTCTCCTCATAATCCTCCTTTTAATCCTCCTTCTCCTCATAATCCTCCTTTTAATCCTCCTTCTCCTCATAATCCTCCTTTTAATCCTCCTTCTCCTCATAATCCTCCTTTTAATCCTCCTTCTCCTCATAATCCTCCTTTTAATCCTCCTTCTCCTCATAATCCTCCTTTTAATCCTCCTTCTCCTCATAATCCTCCTTTTAATCCTCCTTCTCCTCATAATCCTCCTTTTAATCCTCCTTCTCCTCATAATCCTCCTTTTAATCCTCCTTCTCCTCATAATCCTCCTTTTAATCCTCCTTCTCCTCATAATCCTCCTTTTAATCCTCCTTCTCCTCATAATCCTCCTTTTAATCCTCCTTCTCCTCATAATCCTCCTTTTAATCCTCCTTCTCCTCATAATCCTCCTTTTAATCCTCCTTCTCCTCATAATCCTCCTTTTAATCCTCCTTCTCCTCATAATCCTCCTTTTAATCCTCCTTCTCCTCATAATCCTCCTTTTAATCCTCCTTCTCCTCATAATCCTCCTTTTAATCCTCCTTCTCCTCATAATCCTCCTTTTAATCCTCCTTCTCCTCATAATCCTCCTTTTAATCCTCCTTCTCCTCATAATCCTCCTTTTAATCCTCCTTCTCCTCATAATCCTCCTTTTAATCCTCCTTCTCCTCATAATCCTCCTTTTAATCCTCCTTCTCCTCATAATCCTCCTTTTAATCCTCCTTCTCCTCATAATCCTCCTTTTAATCCTCCTTCTCCTCATAATCCTCCTTTTAATCCTCCTTCTCCTCATAATCCTCCTTTTAATCCTCCTTCTCCTCATAATCCTCCTTTTAATCCTCCTTCTCCTCATAATCCTCCTTTTAATCCTCCTTCTCCTCATAATCCTCCTTTTAATCCTCCTTCTCCTCATAATCCTCCTTTTAATCCTCCTTCTCCTCATAATCCTCCTTTTAATCCTCCTTCTCCTCATAATCCTCCTTTTAATCCTCCTTCTCCTCATAATCCTCCTTTTAATCCTCCTTCTCCTCATAATCCTCCTTTTAATCCTCCTTCTCCTCATAATCCTCCTTTTAATCCTCCTTCTCCTCATAATCCTCCTTTTAATCCTCCTTCTCCTCATAATCCTCCTTTTAATCCTCCTTCTCCTCATAATCCTCCTTTTAATCCTCCTTCTCCTCATAATCCTCCTTTTAATCCTCCTTCTCCTCATAATCCTCCTTTTAATCCTCCTTCTCCTCATAATCCTCCTTTTAATCCTCCTTCTCCTCATAATCCTCCTTTTAATCCTCCTTCTCCTCATAATCCTCCTTTTAATCCTCCTTAGCATCCTTTACATTTCCTATGGCTGTTGCAACTGCTATTCCAGTGAGTTCCATGATGACTTGCTCTTGTGTTTGGGTGAATGTAATTTCATAGTATCTGTAATATTCCACCCCTCAAAGTAGTTCAAACCAGGGATCACCCTTGTTTCAAATTATCCAGCTTATTTCTGAGATCCATTTATATGTCACATCATTAATAAGATTTTTTTTTTTCTGAGATTAAAGCAGGATAGGTAGTCCTATAGCATATATTTTCTCTTATTTTTTTTCCCCTTTTTTTCCAGATCTGCCGCATTCTTTACCGGCGGTGGCGCAAGGGATCTTGGCCTTCAGTCCAGCCTCGTCAGATACTCTACCGTGGGACTGGCGTGGGTCTCGCCCTCGTTGGCCTTATGATGTTTGCTCTTATACAGACCAAGGATAACTACAAAGTAGGTTTTGTATCATGGCAGTGCATTTAGATGGAAAAGGAATGTTGGTTTATATGTCATAAACACTTATCTACCCCATTTGTTGAATAATAATAATAGTAATATTAATAATAATAATAATAATAATAATAATAATAATAATAATGATAATGATAATAATAAATCATTATTATAGTTAGTCGATATAAGCTCTTAGAATGATTTAGCCGCCTTAGTTTAAGCAATAACAGGTCAAATCAGAAAGTACATTTAGGTGAAATTCTTGAACCAGATGAGGTGTTAGCTGTAGAAAAGAATAAAAAAAAAAAATAAATAATGATTGTAAAGTGAAAAAAGAAACTTATGTAAGCTCTGTGTAGTATTAATGGTTTGGGTGATGGCTCCCAGCAGTGATGTGGGAATTGGGGCTTGAAGGTAGACATAAATTTATTCTGTTTAATGTAGACCTTCTTGTTTTATTTTATTTGCCTCTTTTAACTGTGAAAAACAGTAAGTGAAAATGTGGCAAAATTCTTAGTAGAGTTGAGGCAGGTAACAACAGTGTGGTTGTTATTGTCTCATGACACAAGGGTATGGACTGGGTGATTGGAGCTTTCTTTTCCTGAGCATATGGCTAACTCTTGTCTTATATACTTTAGTTGTTCAGAAGTACTGGAGAGATTGATATAAATTTGTACAGTAGCAGACATATAGAGAGCCATGTTACCAAGCATCAACAGTCTCAAAGTACTATATGTACTGATAGCTGCAGTGGTAGAGGCAATCACTGACCCCAGTCATGTGACCTTGTCCCATAGCCCATGGCCTGAGCTGGGCTGCTCTCACTTCAGACTGAGTGAAACCAATATCTCCTCTTCAACTCACCCTGAGTGGGCAAGATCTGTGCTCCAGACTCTTCTAGTTTGTGAGAATCCCTTAATAAAGTAGTGAAATATATGCCAAGCCATAAGTTTAGATATCAGGGGAGAGAATGGGATAATGGTAAATACAACTCCAATACTCATAATGCTAGACTTCTTTTCCCATAGTATTGTGGATTGAGATGCGGCGCCATTAGTTCTGGGTATGATAGGTGGCAAAAGAAAATTAGTTCAAATGCAAGAATGATCCCAATTTACTTGGGATCTGGGGAAAATGCTCATTGTACAAGTGAGAAATTGTATTATGCCAGACTCCCTGAGTGACCACTTGGTTAGGGAAGTGGGGACGAGACAATTATGTCATGTATTTAGCCGTTAGAGGTGCTTTAGTTCATAGATTTAACCCCTCAGTGATAGTATTAGAAATCTCTCAGTGTCACTGACTCCAGTAACTTCTGGCAACCATTCTGCTGTTTGGCCCATGAGTCCGCTACATGTAGTGGAACTTCCCGATCAGTGTGCTCTAGTGTGTTGCGATGCCTATAGCCATATCCGGCATGATGAGTCTGCTATGATGGCTATAGGAGTACCCTGGCAGATATAAGTTAAATATGGTGGTCCAAAATTTCTTATTTTCTGAGGTACTTCCTAGGAAAGGTAAGTTCTTTTTTCCTCATGTGAATATCAACACTGATACATATAGGAAAGGATCAGTATCAGTCTTTGATTTATTTTTCTTTTTTCTATCTTTGTTATTTCATTTGCTTTTTCTGCCTTTGCTCACACCTGTAGAACAATTATTATAAATAGACAAAAATCAAAATCTCCTGCAAGTGTATAGAAACTAACCCACTCATTTCTCTTTGCAGTATGTACACAGCGCCTGGCACGTCATCATCGCAATCTCTCTTGTCTTCCTGCTTCCGTCCCAAAACTCGCCTGACTCGGGCCACAAAGTTCCATACCCAACGGTACAGTTTTCAGCCTCCTCCATGGTCAGTGATGACGCTGAGCTGATTGACGTTGGCTCAGCGACGGTAGATTATACTACATCCTCTCCAGTCTTCCAAGTCGCTTCAGATGTCGATTTCCTCCTGGCAGATAACAGTGAGGGAACGCAGTGATTGGGCAGGCACTTGTTCGGGTTCAGGTGTAATGTGGTGTCAAGATAGTAGCACAGGTTTGGTGTTCTGGAAGAACTTACGAGATTTTCAAATTTATGCTGCGTAGGAGTAGAAAATTGAAAATGATAATTGGATTTTTCCTATGATTTCTTTTTTTTTCATTTTTTTATTTATATTTTTATTTATTTTAGTTCCTCCTCATCTTCCCTGTGGAATGTGTATTGTGATAATCAATCTTTACTCTTTGTTTACCTGATATCAAAGCGTTCATTTCCCATATTTTCATAATCATTAGCATTTAATCTCATTCTTTGAATGATCCTTAAAGCATCATCATCATCTTAATGCCTCTCATTGCTCTCTATCCTATTGGAATATTTTGCAAAATGAAGATTAATATAATCCCAAAACAATAACACACAGTATAAGAAAACATTTGTTATTTTTGTGTACTTCATTGCACAATTATTTTAGCACAGATTGCTCTGATTGAATCTTAAGGTAAGGAGATTTTAAAGACTTTTTTTTACTTGCCACATTCCATCCAGTGCGCACACTGAAGATGACAATGTTCCATCCTTGGATCCGGATGCTTCACCACCATCACGTGGCCCAAAATATGGGTATTGGGCTTACTTGAGCAGCCACTCTGCCGGATTTGGGGCTTGTATGTGATGACAAGACTCCATGCCTCCTCTTTCCAATGTTATTTTTTCTTTTTCTGCTTAAGTGTTTTTAGCTTTTTTGCCATTTTCTAATGTCTATAATTGCCATTTGATTTGCTTTATCCAGATGGTAATAAACTGTTTTTCTTGCACAGACTCCATATCTAGGTCGTCCATATCTCAGTACAGTAATGATAACAATAAGTAATACTTTTTTATTTGTGTTGTTTTTTATTTATTTATTTGTTTTTTCTTAGCATTCAGTTTTCTCTAATACCTTTGCCGTCAGTCACGGTGGCCAGGAGTAAGATCCTGAGCATGGAAATGGTGTCCTCCCAGGAGCTGGCACTCTTCTAGTCATGGCTCACAGGTAGTAGATTCCCCACTTGTTTATCAATGGAAATAATGTAAAAGCCCCTTCCTAAATGCCTTCTGAGTCTAATCACCCTCCCAGAGCTTTGTACACTAGTGGCGAGTCTTTCCCATCACCCTGGTCTTCAGGTGAAATTCTCTTGATGATGTCACCCGGTTCCTGCCCAGATTTTTTCGTAATGTGTTGGTCATGTCATCCGGATCATAGGGGTTAAGAGTTAAGAGCTGATGACAGAGTGAAAGGCAAGAGCTCTTACCAGTCTCTTATCTCTTGGTAGAACTTGGTAGAAAAAATTTCTCCCTTGCCTTAACAGAATCTCATTGGCCAAAGATACCCTTTATTGAATGCCCCTTCATATTGAATGTTGTTGATTAGCTGTTAACTTTTTTTAATAGTTTTTTTAATGTCACTGAACCTCATCTGGGTGAATCTCCATGAGACCACCAGAAGCACGAAACAGTATCATCTTTCCAGGAATATATTTATTGTTTGTCGTATTGTCCCCTTTGTTGGTTCATATTTAATTCTTGGATCTCCTTATAAATTCCTTATTTGTATAGATTTATT